AAAGAAAGAAAGAAATGTAACATTGCTACTGTTAAATACACTTTCGGCCAGATATGGCAGCACACAGCAATAATTCCAGCTACTTGGGAGGCTGAGATAGGCAGATTCCAAGTTCAAGGCCGGCCTGAATAGCTGAGCCAGACTCTATCTCAAAACAAAAATAATAATAATGCGGGCCGGGAGGTACTGTGTGAGGCCCTGGGTTCAATCCCAGTACTGCCCCACAAGTATACATGTTCTTCGGCACTGACACTCAGACAAGTTGTAAACGCCTGTGGCAAGGCAAGGAGCTGCCTGAGAATACCCAGAATGCTAGGGACCCGAGTAGATATGAGGGAAACGTCCTTGTGTCACCACTGTGATTGCAACAGGAAGGCTGTGTGCATTTGCCAGAGCATCAGCCAGCTGGGCATGGCGGCACACACCTGTAATTCCAGCACTTCAGTTCAACCACCCTGAACTACATAGCAAGACCGTGCCTCAAAAACCTGAAAAGGAAAAAAGCATCAGATACTCTTACATGTGATAAGCCCTAACACTCTGGGAGCCTAAAGCAGGACCCCACACTCAGGCCCAACTTAGGCAGGTAGGGGAACAGGAGAAAAGCAGCAGCGTGGTACCTCATGCACAGGTACAAATTCCCTATGGTGAATTTCTTTAAAAAAAGCATTTGCTGGGCTGGGGAGATGGCTCAGTGGAATAAGCGCTTGCCTGGCAAGCACAAGGGCCTGAGTTCAATCCCCAGTACCACAAAAAAATAAATTAAAAATCATTTACTTATTTGATACAGGATCTCACTATGCAGCTCAGACTTGTAGTGATCTTCCTGCCTCAGCTTCTCCAGCACTGGAATTACAGGCATGCCTCACCAGGCCTGGTTTTAGTGGCTGGCTCAGCACAGCTTGGGTTCTCGGGATCAAACCCAGGTCCTTGTGCTTGCCAGGCAGGATGGTTAGACCGCTGAGCTATCTCCCCAGCCCCTGACTGCTGAGCTATGTCCCTATGATGTTATTAAACTATGTAGGGGGCTGGGGAGATGGCTCAGTGGAATAAGCACTTCCCTGGCAAGTGCAAGGCCCTGAGTTCAATCCCCAGTACCACAAATAAATAAATAAACTATGTATATCTAAAATGTACCAATAAAATAAAAAATAATAAAAAGCTTTAGAAACACAATCATAAAAAAATAAAGTCAAACTTTAAAAAAAAAAAAAGGCTGGGACTATAGCTCAGTACAAAGGTTCTAGGTTCAATCTCCAGTGATAGGAGAAAAGCAAAATTCAAAAAGCCTACCTGGGGCTGGGGAGATGGCTCAGTAGAATAAGTGCTTCCCTGGCAAGCACAAGGACCTAAGTTCAATCCTCGGTTCCGCAAAAATACAAAACAAAACCAAAAAAAAGCCTACCTATCTTTATAACACATATGACAGGTTAGGTTCTCAAAGTGCAAAGGCAAAGTATCTTTGTAAAATATTTAACTTTTCTGGGTATGCTGGAGTGCGTCTCTAATCTCAGCACTCTGGCAGGATGAGGCAAGGGGACTGCAAGTTTGAGTCCGGCCTGGGCAACTTAGTAATTTAGAGATGTTGTCTCTAAATAAATAAATAGGGCTGGGGGGTTATAGTTCAGTGAGAGAGGCCTGTGTTTAACCTCCAGTATCATAAAAATAAAATGACAAAACATATTTAACTTGAAATACTAAACTGGTCATAATGGCACATGGCTAATAACCCTAGCACTCACAAGGCTGAGGCACGAGGATCTCCATGAGTTCCAGACCAGGTTGGGCTATATAGTGAATTCAAGATCAGCCTAAACTACAGAATTAAATCTTGTCTGAAAGGAGTAAAACAAAATAAATAAGTCCAGCATAATACTATTCCTTACTCACCCTAATAACTAGCTCTGCTCATTCAACAGACAGGACATGGACTAGCAAGAGAAGCATCAAGCCCACTCCTACCCCGTCCCTGCCGTGCCAGGGACCCAGTCAAGAAACAAGACAGGGCAGGTGCAGTGTGAAAAAAGTCTTTCTTTTATTACTGTCTCTTGTGGCAAAATAACATTTTATACAAATAAGTCACCCAGTTTACTTTGGACACAAAGACGGTACAAACTGGAATGAGGATCTTAGGTGAAGGAGGAAGGAAGGTCAGGTCATTAACGTTTCTTATATTCTGTGAAAAATACATTTGCAAGGAAAAAAAATAGACTTTCGCAACTTCAGTGACTTCACATGGTCCTTTGTAAAGCAAGAGGTAAGTCCACCTCCACCAGATCGTCGGTGGCTGAGATGTTCTGTAACACGGAATGTGAATAACACAAAGGTTCAACAACTCGGCTTCTCCACCAAGTATGCACCAAGGAGTCTGGGCTGTGATTTTCCCCATTCCCAAACCTCACTGATGGCATGGGGGTGTTGGCTACCAGAGGAAAGTGACTTTATGGAGGAAAAAAAAAAAAAAAAGGAATACTTGGGAACCCACCAAGGAAGGCAGGATCAACCTATTTTGTACATTAGACACACTACTAAGTCCAGTCCAGAATGGGCTCCACTCCAACTGAAAGGATTCCTTGAAAGTCTGTCCAGTCAATGCCAAGCACTGCCTGTCTACGGTCAGCCCCAGGCACCTCCAAGTCACTGTCCCTGGGTGTTAGAAATCAGATGGCCAAAGCCAGACGTCTTCAGGAAGTCCACAGCCCTGAAGAACACATTCTTTGCATTAGCTCAGAACACAGAATGAGATGGCAGCCTATTTTAGCCCCCAACAACATCTAGTCACTACTTCCTATGTTCACGCTTTAGAATATAAAATGAAAGAAGCCAGGATCATCTTTGGAGAAGCTAGGATAGCTTAGCCCAAAGGCTACAGAGAAAAGCAGAGGCCCTCTGGGGAACTAAAAAACAGAGGCTCCCTGAAAAAGGAGGCAGAGGCCTCAGGTGGGCCTGTCCAGTTGCTGCAGTGAACTCCCTCCTGTTGGATGCCTGCTCTTGACAAAGGGAATAGTGTCCCCATGCCAGGAGCTGGTTGATAGCAGGTAACTGCTATATCTTTATTGTTGTTGTTCTTATTGAGACAGGGTCTCACTAAGCAGTTCAGGCTGGGCTTGAACTCACTTGGTAGCCCAGGCTGGCCTCAAACTTAGGGCAATCTTCCTGCTTCAGCCTCCCAAGTGCTGGGATTACAGGTATGTGCTGTAAGGTCCAGCTGCAAGCTTTAGTTTTAAATTTATCCCAGCCAACACCCAGAATGGTAATGCTTCTCAAGATTTCCTGCGCAGCTAGACACAGTACACTGGACCTTCAAAAGGAAGCGACAGCATAATCCCACCCTGCTAGACACAACTGAACACCCAGCCTCAAAATGTGGGGTTTTTTTTTGTTTTTTTTATTTCAGGTACCAGGGATCGAACTCAGGACCCTGCACTTTCCAGGCAGGCACTTATGCCACTCAGCTATCTCCCTGGTGCTAAATGGTTTTTAGTGAAGCTAAGGCAAGTTAACAGGGAAGGGGCTACCACACTACTCAAGCCAAAGTGCCCAACTCCTTCACCTTCTGGGGGCTTTGCCAGCAAAAGCTAACACTTCAGGTAGGAGGTGGCCCACTAGTGTCCGTATACCTACCTTCCAGGGGGAAACATTTTTCAAAACAGGCTCTACAGAGCAGAGCTCTGGGCAGCTCCACATACATCCTAGGTAATGTCTAAATTTCAGACAGCAGAAGTGCTCCCAATTGGGCTCCTGTCTGTCACACAGAGGAAGGAGCATTTGAAGCTTGAGAGGAATAGGTAAACCTCACTAAAGGCCACAGTGAGAAGGAGAAGGTAGGGAGATAGTGTACGCGGATGTCTGTCCACAGGTGAGGAGGACGGAATGAAGGCAACAGCTTTCCCCAGCAGCATATGGGACAAAGCCACACTTAAGGCACCTGGTGGAGCTGACTCTAATTCTGAGATTCACCAGTGTGGTGATGAGGCACCCATGTGGCAGGCACAGTCCCGGCCCTCCCCTGACAGATGAATCCAGTTCCTGCACTCGGGATAATCCAGTATTTTCAGTAAGAAAGCTGCCAGTATATGGCATTACCAATTCTGTGGTGGGCACAAAGTGAGGGCTGAGGATCAGGGCCAGCTGTGCTCTAGAAGCCCAACAGAACAACAGGCTGAAGAACACACACACGCTTCCGGGGCACAGCACTGGCCCTTTCCCTGGCCATACACGGCCTTTCCCCAAGAACCCTGGGACACAGCTCCTGCACAGGTACAGCGATGCCTCCCACTGCCTTACTACACACATGGTCCCCCTTTCTGTTAATGCTAAGTGGAACCTGGCCACAGGAGAGGGCCCTGGAATCTGGGCTACCCATGTAAAGCCATCCACAGAGACAACCACAGGCAGCTAAGGAGGTGGCTGTCCGTTTCATTAGGGTCCAAGAACACAAGCAGCCCACAGGAAGCACCAAGGAGCTGTAGCTGCCTCAGCCTATCCCACCTTTCCAAACACCCCAAATAATTCCAGCTAGCAGCTTAAAAGTTTTGAATATGAATTTACTGAGCCCTGGCTTGCCAGATGGCTTTAGAAACTGCTTCATTAGAAAGAAGATAGGAAAACTCCTAAGAAATCCACAAAGTTTAGGATTCCCTATTAGAAGCCAATCCTTCAGGATATGCTGTGTAGAGAAAGTCAAATTTCTTTTAAAGTAGCTGCAGCTTTGTAACTATACTGCACCTAACACAAACCAGATTAGCCCAGGAGGCTGACCAATACTACCAGAAATCTAAATATACGTTACGTGTGCTGGAAACACCACTGACATTTTGTAAAAACTCCTCTACAAGGGTCTGGGGGTGTAACATAAAAATACAAGAGGCCTGCTCTGGCCTTGAAAGATAACACGTTCCATGAGCAAAACTGACAGTCTACTCCAGGAGAGGCTCAAAAGTCAGGAGGACAAAGCAGCAGTGCAAGCTCACCTGGGAAGGCAGATGAGATCAGGAAGAACAGGAACAGGAAGGCACTGCCAGGCTAAAACCTTGGCCTACCCCCAAGAGGACTGGAGGAGGTTCCTGAAGTCAGACAAACCAGTTCACTAGAAAAGGGGTTGGCCCTCAGTCTGGCAGATCTCCCATTACTGGTGCCTCTGCTCTCAGCATGAAGTCTGTTCCAGTTAGTTTAAGACTATGTGCTGGCTGGGGCAGACCAGGCTATGGGCAACACCAAAAGTGAGGAGAAGAGGTGCCTTGGAAATGCCCACCTTTTTTGGTCAAGAAGGACCACTAACTTGCAGGTGGCAGCAACAGCTGTCACCTGGCACTGCTGTGCTGGAGACTGGTTCATCAGCATAACCAGCAGATAGCTAGGACTGCATGAAAATAAGTTTTCTTTTTAACGTGGATTGCAAACCTCATTCTAATTTTTTACTTTACTATAATACCGCTGTGACTTAAAGAACAAGGAAAAAAAGGAAAACACTGCTTGGCACCTCCCTGGAGCACAGGAAGCCGCCACCCCAGCCATCGCCTCTAGACAGTTTCCACATGTCTGCTGATAAGCAGCAGATGCAATCCCCTCTGTGTGCCAGGACACTAGGCCCTAGCAAAGCACCTCCTCTGTCCATCCCAGTAGCAGTTACTGGCCTCCATTATAGGCATAATCAGCCTTGTTGTGCATTATCAGCTTGTTGTCCACAAAGTAGAAGCTGTCAGAGCGGGTCTCATAAGGGTTTTCAATCATCAGACGAACTGCAAGTCAGAAGAAAACAGTCAAAAGTTATGCATGAGTCTGTCCCATGGTTAAGTGGGAAAACACTGGGACCTCCCTCCCAAACTCCCACGTGAGCACTTCTGCAAAATGTTGAGTATGCTCTGCTAAGCACTCAGCTGAAGCTAGGGAACCAGCTGTGAGAGTTGGGGAGACTGCAGAGGCTCCCAAGTGAGCATAAAACTTCACTCCACCTGAGGATACAGTCAGCTCCTTAGTAATCTCCAGTCTGGTTCTTCTCCTTGGTGCCGTGGGAAATGTACTCACCCTCTTGGCAGCAAGGACCACAGCTGCCGCTATTTACCCAGTGGTCTCCACCGACCAAGCAGCCCTGGCTTCTGGTCTGCAGCCCACTGCTAGCCATGCTGGTGCACATCCAGAAAGCTAGGCTTCACTGTGCCTGCCTGCTACCTGCACCTCTGACAGCCAAAGGGACCCTAGGGAATTAAAGGGCAAGGAGCTTCTCCTGAGATGGCTCAGGTATTAACTTGAAAGTAATCTAGTCAGAGGTTCTCTTGAATTGGGATCTAAATTTAAGTTTTGTAGTTCTTCAGACAGTTGTCCAGATCTCCTTACCATACTGGAGGTAAAGTTAATTAATAGTCACTTCTGGTCCGTTTTAATGATTCTATGCCCTCTTGAGTCACGTGGAACACTACAATTTTCAAAAGGTAACACTTAAAAGTTCTTTGAAGGCTGGGTGTAGTGGCACATGTAAGGAGTACTTAGGAGGTTGAGGCAGGAGGACTTCCATGAGATCAAAGCCAGCTTGGGCTATATAGTGAGTTCAAAGTCAACTTGGACTACATAGCTAGACCCTGTCTCAAAAAGCAAAAAAAATGAAAGTTCTATGAATCCAGGCCAAAGCAATTTAGTTTACATGTAGATGACAATCCTCAAAATCGCTTAGCTCGTCTGGCATCACAGATGTAACCTGTAATGCATCCACGCTCTTTCCTTGAAAGCATCTTCATGTTTCTGCCCAACCTGGTCTGTGCCAGAGTCAATGCTATCGTGAATACCACCCCACGCTGCAGCAATCCTCATTTTACCTGGGAACAGTACTCTCATAAGAGTAAAGAGTATCAGGGTCTTGGTCTAGCCTAAGTCACCTAAATGAGAGGACCAGGAATGGTTTTGTTTGTTTGTTTGTGGTACCAGGGATCAAACTCAGGACCTTGCACTTGCTAGGCAGGCGCTTATGCTGCTGACCTATCTCCCTGGCTGGAATGGTTTTAATAAAAGACAAATGTATGATTTTAGGGCTCCAGGAGGATTAAAATCCTCTAATGAAAGTCAAGATTCCCTGGGAGTTGACACTAAGAACTTCTCTGGGTGGCCCCTATTTATTTGGTTTTCAAACAAAGAAGGAGATACTGAGGCAAGCACAGGAAATGAGCGGGACCTTGGGAGTCAGTGCAAAGAATTCTCCAAGTAGGGAATTTTGCCTATTAGAACTGTCTTATCTCCAGGTTGACAGTTACAGTAGGAGTGAAATGGCTGTAGCTGCAGTCTCTAGTTAGTATATTGAAGTCAGAGCCAGGTGTTCTCAGCTGTGGCCTCATCTTGCCCTTTAAAGTGTCACAGCATCACAGGCCACCTCAGGGCTCTGCCAGGACCAGTGATTCACAGAGGTTCACTGCCGCTCTCCAAGCAAGGGCTCCAGGCCTGGGACAGCCTCACAAGTAAATATAGAAAGCCAATTGATTAATTTTAAATCCTGCTCAGAGGTGCTTCACAGTGGTCTCCATCAAAGAGTGCCTGGTTTTCAGGGTATGCAATCTGTTAAGGTCTTGGTGTTTTGAGAAAGTTGTTCAAATGTATATAGACCCTTCTACACAATTAAAGGTTACCATTATTCACAGGATTCCACTCCCATCTGTATAAAAGTTCTGTGTTTTTCTAAATTACAAACAGAGGGTGGTAACTGCAAATTCCAGAAACTAATGAAGCCTGTTTCTTTTCCCTGCCTCAGTCCAGGTCTTCCCTTGTCTGGGTTACATAGCAGCCTTCTCCATTAGAATGACTTTTCTAGTTAGGGCTTCTCGCTCAAAAACCATGCTTCCACTGTCTCCTTTCTACTGCCACAAAACAGGCAACGGCTCCCTAACTTCTAGGTTGATTCTTAGTTTTGTTGTTTTGTTTTCTGAGATGGGCTCTTGCCATGTAGTTCAGGCTGACACCAAACTCGAAGCTATCCTCCTGCTTATGCCTCATGAGTGATGGGATTATAGGGATGCACCAAACCACTGCTACTAGGGAAATTTTAATTGTTTATAAACCTTCTGTCCTGCAGAGAAAGAGAAATAAAAGTCCTCAGGCTTTTGATTCTATTGAGCCTGAACCTTCGCATCTGGTTCTGATTACAGAAAAAGTGCAGGGTCCATGACTAGGATGCAGTGACAGCTGCTAACACTCAAGGCTCGTTATCTAGTCAAGAGTCCCAGGCCTCCTTTATCTCCTGCAGCCGCTCCCTCCCCGATGACAGGCGTCTAATAATGATGGCCTGTATTTTTACAAATTTCCCAGCTCCCATATGCAGTCAGAGTTTGAAAGGAAAGGCAGGAGCGGCAGGAAACAAGAAGGCTCAGGTCAGGTAACCAAAATCTTACTGCCCTGCTCTGCAAGATGAACCTGTCAGACGGGTTCAAAGTTCATTCCTCAGGGCTGGGGATACTGCCCAGTACCTGCTGGCCTGGCATGTATATGGCCCTGGGTTCCACAAAGAAAAGGAGAGGTAGAGAGAAGATTGAGTCACTTCCTGCAGCTTAGACTCTAAAATGCAGAACGAGTCAAAAGATACTTACTGACGTCCTCCGAAAGCTGGGGAAATTCATAGATGTGCTCACAGGTGTTCCTACTGCTGGGGATGCAGAAGCCGAAATCAAAGTCAAAGTTTTTCAACAGGCGTTCTCGGAAATAATGTCGTTCAATCATCCGGAAGTTTGAGACAGGTTTATCTCCTACTGTGAACTCCACTCTGCAAAATAAACTCCTGTGAGCCCTACTTTGCCTCCTCCCTCCTCCAAAGCCAACCCCAAATCCAGCCTCTCCTATAAGCAAGCAGGATGTTCTCCCGACAAGAAATAATGGTACTCACGTAGCACCAACTGTCCGGAGGCGGAGAAATGCTGGTGTGAACTGGTAACGGACAAAACGTCCCGCGCTGATATCCACATCTCCACCCTCCTCTTCCTCCTCCTCTTCCTGGTGATCTGACAGGACATGCAGAAGCCTGAGTGCATCCTCTGGGTACCACCAGTGCACACAGCACAGTGACAACCCACTAACACACTGACACCAACAGTGAGTGTGCCCTCTTACCACGTACTTGCTGTACGCCAGGCCCTGTGCTAACAGTGCAGGGTCCTCACAGGACTGCGGATAAGGTCTCCACTTCACACATGAAGGAGCTCCAGTTCAGAGGGGTTAGGTAATATGTCCAAAGTCCCAAAACAGTAAAACACACCAGCAGGGATTTTAATCCAAGTCCATCTGACTCCAAGCCTGTTTTTATACACCGTGTTGCTTGTCTTATATAATTGGGGGGCTTAGGCTATAGTCTAAGATGAAGTTTGAAACACAAGCTGGATATGAGGCTTCTGATATATCTCTATATAAATAGGATGGGCCTGCTGTTCATCAATTTGAAGGTCTATCCATGAACCAAAATAATAGGACTACAGAGCCAGGGATATAGCTCAGCGGCACAGCACCTGTCTTGACAAGCACAAGGTCCGGAGTTCAATTCACAGTACAAAAAAAAAAAAAAAAAAAAGGACAAAATGTAAAGCTAAAGTTTCTTCAAGAAACAGAAACACGGGGCCGGGGAGATGGCTCAGTGGAATAAGCGCTTCCCTAGCAAGCACAAGGGTCTGAGTTCAATCCCCGATTTAAAAAAAAGAAACAGAAACATTTCAGACAAGTAGCAAATGGAAAACACTGAATTATAGTACTTCCTTGGACCTGATGTCCATTCCAGGTCATTCTGGAACCGACCATCTGGAAAGGGTGAAACATAACAAGCAAGGAACCATGTGGGACCTTATAAGGCTAATGCTGATCTCTGGCCTACTCCAACCTCAGAATTGCTCTATTATGAAGAAGTCAGTACCTCCAGCGTCCAGTATGGGAATTTTCTCCAGGACTAAGCTCAACATTGGCACTTTCAACATCTTGGTTTGTGACTCCCAAGAACACTGGCCAACCAGACAGAGCAAGGGTTCACACCCAGGAACCAAGAGCCCTGGCTCCACTAGTGTGGTGCAAACAGCCAGGGCAAATCTTTTCAAGGAATCAAAGTGCTGCAGGAAGGGTCTGTAGGGTGTTCTGGGTCTCACTACTAGATCGGACTCGGAGTGATCCGCCTATTTACAGCCTCCCAAGAGCTGGGATTACAGGTATACACCACCACATCCAGTCTCAGTTGCCGCCTCAGCACACCCCAGGGGTGGGGATCAAACCCTGGCCTCTATGCCTGTACTTTAATCCACTGAGCTATTTGGCCGGCCCCTCAAGATCTTTAAATGAGACTGGAGAGTCTGAAAATCCAGATACTTTTACAGCCAAGTTTTATCCTGAAATGGCTACCCAGATCCCAGTCTAAGCCAAACACACACACCTGTTGTAATCCCGGGGTCCTTAAAATGTACTAATTCACTACGACATGTGCCTTAGGAATGAGAACACCACAGATTCAGAAAGCTGGCTGGACCTGACCTGACCATCCCAATGTAAGATAAATAATAAACTTGAGCTTGTAGGTGTCTTGGCCAATACTATGTATACTATGGTAGCATGAATACGAGGTTCAGGTGATCTGGGGCTCTAGCTTTGGCTTTCTAATAAATCTGAGCTGAGTCTTCTGAGCCACTCAGAAAAGTCTTTTTTTTTCCCCATTGTTTGCAGTTCTGGAGATGGAATTCAGGGCCTCCAACATGCTAGACAAGAGTTCTACAACTGAGCCACAGGCCTAGCCCAGGATAGTATTTTGACTTCTATGCAATAGTAATACCTGCTTTCTCAAATTTATAGGCTCTTTCCAAGTAATAAATGAGAAAAGAAAGACAGAAAGACAGAAAGACAGAAAGACAGAAAGACAGAAAGACAGACAGAAAGAAAGAAAGAAAGAAAGAAAGAAAGAAAGAAGAAAGCAAGCCAGCCCTCAAAATAAGTTACTACAGACCAAAGTTGATACTAGGCTATCTGTGGCAATGTTTTAACAAAAAAACTCCAGAGGGCGCTAAGTCTCCAGTAAAGACTTCTATGGTCCCCTGGCCAGAAATTTATCACCTGGGACTGCACTACACATACAGGAAGCTTTTAATAAAGACCAATTTAATAAATCCCAAACAGAGTAGTTCATCCATCTGCAATAAAAACCAACCTGAGGTTTCTGGGACAGGGTCTGAGGATGGGGTAGCAGGTTCCATGTTTGGACCAGAGGGCAGCAAGCAGCAGCCCCTGAAAAAGCCCAAGCAGCAGACCCCTTCAAACAGAAGGGGAGGAGCAGAGGAAATTCAAGGAGCTAAAAGCAAAAGATTCCAGAGAGAAAAGCCCCCTAGCCACAGGTGAAATAAAATCTAGCAAAAAGCAAGCTGTTCCTTGTGCCTCAGATGATGGTGATCCTTGATCCTATCACTAATTAAATATCTGAATTCCTTGCCATAACATCTTTGCTACCAATAGCATCGATAAAATGCTGTCTTACAGCAGGCTATGTACTTAAGAGTAAACTTTTTTGGTTTTTTTCCGGTACTGAACTCAGGACCTTGAACTTGCCAGGCAGACACTTATGCCCTTAAGCTATCTCCCCAGCCCAAGAGTAAACTTTTATTTTTTTAATTTTTTTTAAATTTTATTTATTTGTGTGTGTGTGTGTGTGTGTGTGTGTGTGTGTGTGTGGCCAGCTCAGCCCACCAGGGGGC